TATATTGTTATTCATGATTTCTAGTAGTAATAAACTCTCAACCTTTTTTCAATAATGAATCCAAATTAAAAAAAATATACAATTTACAGCAAAGTATTTCTTTACATTTTTGCCCAAACAAAGTCATCATGTTTCCAAACAGCTGGCCCAACTCTCTCAGCTCAGTTTCCCTGAACTTCCTGTCCAGTACAAGGTCACAGGTACAGAGCATTCTCCAGCATCCGTCCATATACTAGCTTGGAAAAGGGAGGAAGTGGGAAGGAGAAGCAAAGAGCAGGAAAGTGGCTTGCCTTGCTGTGTCTGTGTGTTTGTGGAGATACACACACTTAATAGAACACACAAGGGTGGCTCCATAGGATATGCAAGGAAAATGAGCCACCCTAAACAAGATATTAGGGCCAGTGTTCAAGGGACCAGCTGATTTTGCAGCAAACTAAAACTTCTAAAGTTGAAGAAGCAGCATCCATTGTAGGGGAATTCATCAGCATTTGAAATGGCTTAAAAACATTTTGGGGGGAATTCATAGAAAATGGAACAGACAGAATATAGAGCAGTTGTCCATGGCAACCAATCACTGTCTCTCTTTAATTTGTTCAGTTAAGCTTTGAAAATAAAACAGAAAAGCTGATTGGTTGCCATGGGCAACTGCTCCAGATTTTGTCTTCTCCATTTTTTATGAATTCCCCCCTTTGACTTTCAGATCAATTTAAGTGGGTGGAGCTTAGCAACCAGCCTAGTTGTGTACCATTTAAAAGCAGTCTTGGATTTAGTAAGAAGATGCAAGGTTATGACAGAAAGCTGATATTATAGTGACAAACAGTGAATTAAAAAATGTTATTCCTCTTCTTTTAGTGTATACTGAGTTATTCATTTATAGCTTTTTTTTTTTTAAATCATGGCAAAGAAACAGTTAGGTTGCCTTGTAAGAAAATAACTTAATTTGTTCTGCATTGTGTGGTTCCTCCCACCAGTCTCTATGTCACAAAAGGACACAGTAGTGAAGTAGCGGCTGGTGGGTGAATCACACCCCTAAATGTTGGATACCAGGAGGATAGTGATGAGTACTATAGCAAAATCGGTGTTTATTATTTTTCCACAAGTTGAGCAATGGATTTTTACATTTGTTAAACAAATTTGGAGTTAGGCTTTAACCAAAAACTTAGGAAAACTTAATTTACAAATGTTCAATAGATGTTATTAAATCCTAAATCAATCATACCTGTTAGGGATGCACCGATACTGTTTTTTTTGGTATCAAGTACGAGTACCGATCCTTTTTACGGTACTTGCCAATACCGAATACCGAGTACCGGTGCCGTGTCCCAAGATTATCAGAAAGTCCGGCAGCAGATCATGACCCGTCGCCTGGCTTCCTAAATGCCTGTGAAGCCAGTGTTCTAGTGAAAAAACAACAGCTTCACATGCTGAGGCTGCCTGGCTTCCTGACCAATCAAGAAGCCGGTTGGCGATTCATGAGGTGCTTTCCAACTTCCTGATTGGTCAGGAAGCCAGACTGCCTAGGAACAAGTGATGCCGGCTTTCTAGCCAATCAGGAAGCCAGATGGCACATCATGGCCCGACTCCTGGCTTCCTGATTGGCTAGGCAGCTGGCTTCACTTGTTCCTAGGCAGCCTGGCTTCTTGACTAATCAGGAAGCCGGGAGGCAGGTCATTACGTGCCCCCTAGCTTCCGGATTGGTTAGGAGGGCAGTCTGCCTAGCAACAAGTGAAGCTGGCTTCCTAGCCAATCAGGAAGTCGGGAGGCAGATCATAACCCACCGCCTGGCTTCCTGATTGGAAAGGAAGCCGGCTCCATGCTCCATCAACACTTGCAGTCAGAGGGGGATCTCCTTCTGACCGGAAGTTCCGCTTTCGGAGGTAAATATAGGAGCATTTGAGCGAGTACGAGTATTACTGATACTAGTATCAGTATGGGTGCATTGCATGTACAAAGTATGTTACATTCAAGGTATGTTTTAGGAACCAGAGCACCTGCTGGTGGCGCCGTGGTGCTTGGATCTAAAACCTGAGGCGTGTTCAGTTCCTTAGCCAAGCACTGAGTAGCTGTTCTGCAGCACTTAGGTTTGCTGCAGCAGCTTCACTGAACGCTTTGGCTGCACAGTGCTAAGCAAAATGGCAGAGGATAATATTTTTGACTAACAAATACCATTTCTCAACAAATATTTGGTTTGCTCATCCACCAAAACATTAAATTGTAGGTTCCCACACTGAATTGTGATGTCCTCCATCAGGGTTCAGGCACCTTTCTGCAGCACTGCCAGGTGTGCCCTCAGTTAAAATGCCCGCTGGTGCTCTGTCCCCACCTCTCCGTCACACTCAGCGCTCTGTATCCACATTAATTTCTGCTGCGAGTGCTAAGTTAGCAGTGCTGAGCACTGACTTGCAGCACAGCGTTCAGCAGCGGTTTGCTTACTCAGCACTTGCAGCGGCTGAGCAACTGAACACGCCTCTGTAGTTCCTGTGTCCACCAGCAGGTGAATCAACAGCCAGATGTCCTCAGAAATTAATCCACACCTGGCTGCTGGGAGGGTATTTAGCGGCTCCCCAGGAAGCTCACTTTTGCCTCAGCATTATTTCCTGTGTGCCTAGTTTCTCTACCTGCTGTCCTATAAATATGTTATCATGAACCAGATCCTGATTCCTGTGACCCTCTTAACTGGCTTGTCCAGGTCTTTCCTCACTTTGCTCTTTGGCCTGCTTACCTACCAAATCCACAATCTCACAAAATGAGAATATTGTGAAAAGGTGCAATATTCTAGGCTCAAAGTGTCCCACTCTAATCAGCAAATTAAGCCATAACACCTGAGCCTTTAAATGGTCTCTCAGTCTGGTTCAGTAGGAATCACAATCATGGGAAAGACTGCTGACCTGACAGTTGTGCAGAAAACCATCATTGACACCCTCCATAAGGAGGGAAAGCCTCAAAAGGTAATTGCAAAAGAAGTTGGATGTTCCCAAAGTGCTGTATCAAAGCACATTAATAGAAAGTTATGTGGAAGGGAAAAGTGTGGAAGAAAAAGGTGCACAAGCAGCAGGGATGACCGCAGCCTGGAGAGGATTGTCAGGAAAAGGCCATTCAAAAGTGTTGGGGACTTTCACAAGGAGTGGACTGAGGCTGGAGTCAGTGCATCAAGAGCCACCACACACAGACGGATCCTGGACATGGGCTTCAAATGTCGTATTCCTCTTGTCAAGCCACTCCTGAACAACAAACAACGTCAGAAGCGTCTTACCTGGGCTAAAGAAAAACAGACCTGGTCTGTTGCTCAGTGGTCCAAAGTCCTCTTTTCTGATGAGAGCAAATTTTGCATCTCATTTGGAAACCAAGGACCCAGAGTATGGAGGAAGAATGGAGAGGCACACACTGCAAGATGCTTGAAGTCCAGTGTGAAGTTTCCACAGTCTGTGTTGATTTGGGGAGCCGTGTCATCTGCTGGTGTTGGTCCACTGTGCTTCATTAAGTCCAGGGTCAACGCAGCCGTCTACCAGGAGATTTTGGAGCACTTCATGCTTCAGTTCAGTTCTCAGTTCTCCCCCAGCATGAGAAGAGATAAGGATTTAAAAGGAAGAGCAGCAAAGAGAAGGGAAACTACCATGGATTACAGTAAGGCACACATTACAGTATTGGTTTATGTTTCAAAAATCTGAGGGTTTAATGTCACTTTAAGTTCTCTTAAGTCAGCCTGTCCACATCTGCCTTCTGGAGATCGCTGCCCTTGCTCTCTGCTCTTCTCCTTCCACTCAGACTTCATTGTTCAAGTTATTTATATCTCCAATTTCACCCTTTTTGGAGGTAATACTGACACACTTTCTGTCTTCAGGTTTAAAGTCTTTGTTCTCACAGTATTAAAGGGTTTATTCATGATGCTTGTACACCTCTCAAATCTCCAGCTGTATCTGCAGTGGCTCACAAACAAGTTGAAGCTGCTACAGGTTGAACCTTTAATCCGCTAATTTTCTCAAAATCACTAGCTTTGCTAGCAGCATCACACATGAAGCCACTGCCAGCTGGTCATTTGATAACATTTCCATCACTGCCTTTTTTCTTAATTTAGATTTAGTTCCAAGAGCATGAAGAAAATACCACCCAAGCAAAGACACTGCTTTTATCTCTCACTTACTTAACCCAAGTCCCTTAAGGTACATTCTATGAAAAGATTCAGAGACTCTATCACCCCAAGCTCTACTCAAAGAAAAAGCATGTTTAGTAAACTCCTCTTCAGCAGCCAGCCATTAGTCATCTTTAGCCAAGGAGGCAGGTTTCACACATAGAGAGCATAATAAGCATCACTGTAGAAGGTTAGACTCTTCATCTACGCACCATGCGCACTCCTCTGAGTGGACGGCCCACAGAAGGCCACTGCTGAGCCTGCTCTAATGCCGCACCGCAGGGAAAAACCTTGTGCAAAGCATGCTTTGTAGAAACTACTACAGAGAGAGAGGTGGATAACAGAGAGGTAGTCTCTCTAATCAAACAAGCTATGCAAGATACTAATAGAGTTCCAAATATGGAAGAAGTTCATGTGGCTTGCGATTGCATCCAACTTTCATTCAGAGAACCGCAAGTACACAACATTCAACTTTTTCTTCAGACAAGTCTGAAAACAGAACTAACTCGCATTTCACTAGAGGTACAGCTCTCCACCATATTGGCTTTTACAAAGACATTGTGGGCAGATAACAGACTAGTGACGCAGTTTGTAGAACTAATGGATGGTGGAAACCATTACCCATAAGGAAATCTAACAATGGTTCTCGAATACTTTGCATATCCACTGTGCAGAAATCTCCCATTGAAGGCAGGTTTTCTGGATGCAATTACCTCTGCAAATAGGTATTAAGTGATTACAGCACTTGGGCATGCTAAGCTCTTTCTTCAGTTTCTGCTCAACAAAGTCATCTTTATCCCAGGGCTGCAAGATCTACCTAAAATAACATCAAGTGTTCACATCAGTCAGGGACTAGGCCTGCTAACTTACAATGTCAGAGGTCAGCCACGTTCAGCTGCCTGATGGCAGCAGCATCCTGAAAGTCTACACACTCATCATGCAGTTAGTGCCAGTCCAGATGATCTGTGTGAGGGCAACAAGGTCACAAACACGTTCTTGTCCTACTACTGTGTAGATTTGGCCACCCTTGCTTCCATGTACTGACAAAAGTATTGTCTGCTGCTTCTAAAAAAGATTAAAGTTGTTTTGACCCACTCAGTCACCCTAGTTATTTCCTATATGTGATGTCATGGAGTGTCAGGAATACACAAAAAATAATTACCAATACTTACAGTAATTGTTATTTCCTGATGTATTTCTACGGTATCACACAAAGCCCACCCAGAGTAGATGTATCTAGTTACGGAACACCATTGCTAGGGTGGGACTCAAATTTAGAGATAAATGTCCTGGAGCATTGAGCAGGGGAGAGGAGTCAACCTAGGTATGATGCCATAGAAATACCCTTAAGGTAACTTTAATGTCCAAAAACACAATACAAATTTACATAGTTACATAGTATTTGGGGTTGAATAAAGACATACGTCCATCAAGTCCAACCCATATAGGTCCACGCATCATATTATATTATATATATTATATAAATGTATATATAAAATATATAAAAGATGAGGTTACGATGAATAAATAGATACCCAACATACCCAGGTTAAAAATTGTGTGCGTCCATGAAACGGTGACAAAATACGGTACCCAAAATTGTCCATAGGCGACACTTTAAAAGCCCCTACAGTTCATCAATTTACAGGTATCCATATATATTGACCCTAGAATTATTACTTTTACTCTGGCGCATGCAGCTATACCTAACATGGGTAGTGCAATCATCATTTCTGTGCGTAGGCATACCCCTCATATGTTTATATTAATATGCGCACACTCACAGGGGAACTTTAAACATACTAATTATGCTGCTGGTCTGGTTTTCCTTTATAGAAAAAGTAACTGCCTTCGCAAACTCTTTCTCTCAATTCCCTAGAGGACGAAACAGGCTGTGCTAGCTTGCAGAGAGTCACAGAGTGGTGGCATACAAAGAACTAAAAACATTTTATATTTTGTGGAGTTGGACACAGTTTAACTCAACCAGGTAAAGAGGCAGTTGACTGTGTAGTAAGTCCCGAGGAGGTGAGGATATTTTGGGGGCTTTTTTTGTGTTTTTTCTACTTGCTGCCTAAGTTGCTTTGGGTGCTAAAAATATTTTCTATGTCCATTTAATGGAAACACAATAAAGCTGGTTTCAGCCACTTTGAAACTTGAACTGCTTTGACAACTTTCACTGCCTGTAAAACCCTGGAAAAGTAAGGCTGATATCATTACAGTATATATTTTAGTACTTTTTAACTAATGTTATGTACTGTTTTATTGTTCTTTTTAACAGATAAAAGGGGCATTTGTTGCCATAGGTATGATCTTGTTGACTGTATTTAGTGTGGCTGCTGGTAATTATATGTTCTACAAAAAAAGGAAAAGTGTAACCCTACAAGATCCAAACAGAAAATACAGATTACGACTTATTCAGAAGTCAGTAAGTACGCTATAATCATTGTTATTTTATTGACAATGTACTGCAACTGAGAATGTCTGAGACACCCAGTGCCTGGTCATGTCTCAAAAGCAGCTGTTTTTTTATAATTAAATTATAATTATAAATAGTGATGAGCGGGGGCTTGGTGCAAACCCAGTTTGCCTAAGTTTGGCCAAGCCTGTATAAAACTGTGAATATCAAACCCCTTCCTGGCCCATCAGTTGTGGCTGGGGCATCCCCCACCCTGCAGCTACACATTAAAAAGGGACAGGGAATGCTGCTGCCACAACTGATTGGGCTGGGGGGATGTCAGTCACAGTTTTGTGTGGGTTTGGGTAAACTCATGTGAACTGGGTTCTTTAAATTATAAACAGATGATGTGTCATGTGTGGAATATAATTATGTCAAGACTAAAAGACTTGTTTTTTAACCACCTTTAAGGCCCCGTTCACATTGAGCGATTTATCGCGCGGTAATTCCTGCGATATCGCGGCAATTTACCGCGCAATATCGCTCTCCAATGCTTCTCAATGGGGCAAAGGGTCCTGCTGTCGCGGGTCGTGCGTCGCTACAGCAGGACCCTTTTTGGAGCAGATTTAGCCGCGATTCAAGCTTGCTCAATGCAAGCATTTGCGCGATATCGCGCAAAATGCAAATCGCGCGACAAACGCGCAATTTGCGAACCGCTCAATGTGAACGGGGCCTTACACCTTTGTTTTATTTCACATATCTTAACAAAACCCACAGTATTAGAAAATTATGTGTATGTATAAATTTTAATTGTAATGATTCGCTTATCAGACCCATTAATATTTCCTTTCATTGCCTCAAAACCCTGTGCAATGCGCACTTTGTAAAGCTACAGTACAAAACTGGAGTAGGTAAAAGCCAGAAGGGGCCACTGCTGTGCTGGCAGCTGGGGTTAATGTTTACTGCACATTAGGGCATAAGGGCTTGGGAAAGGGGGGTAAAAAAGTGACTATTGTCATGATCCTAAATCTTTTTACTTAATTACTACTTATAAATCACCCCATTATGTAATGGTGTAGGAAAGGGAGTTACAGTTGTCACAACTAATGATAGGTCTTAGTTTGGTTCTTTGAAACTCCCTGCCCTTTGTACAATCTGTTATTAAATATTACTATGAAACATTGCATATAGGTAATTGCTAGATTGGATCTGTACTTTACAAGGTATTTACATATTCAACATGTACAATAGAAATCATGTTATTTTACATTCAGATTATAAATCACAATACAAGAAGATTTCACTTTGCCCTTCCATCTATGTACCATACACTTGGACTTCCGCCTGGTGAGTACAGACATTCATGCAACCATTGTATATGGTATTTCTGTACTTATTTATTTTCTATAGCCTGGTTTTATAATGACAACACCTATTTGATATTTGTTACATGTTTCTCACCGCTGACTGCTTTTAAATGGCGGCCATTTCCCGCTGGGCGCGCGCGAGGGGGCGTGTCTGAGCGGACGTCTAAAGACGCCCGCTCAGATCTAGAGAGCTCCTGGCCGGCCGTTTTTTTACTACGGCCAGGCCGGAAGTGGTTGACCTCCCTGTCAGTATGATTATTCAGGATTTTAGCATCCCAAATCGGTCAGCAAGTGGTTAAAATGATTGAAAGGGGCTTTTGAAATTACATTAAATTATATGAAATCGTAGTGTTTGGATTTACATATACTTTAATAAGGCAATGTAATCAGTATACGTTTAATTACACATTCAGTGTTAATTAGGTTAATGCAACAAAACTGGACAAAAAAGGAGCATTAAATTGTGAGCCAACAGCAGCCAATCAAGTTTCACCTTTCATTTTCTTTAAATCAAACAAGAATTCTAATTAGTGCCCAGAGGGTACCAACTCCAGTTGGTTTTCTTTTATTTTTCACTGCATCAGCCCCACATGTTTTCCATAGTTGGTTTATATTAAACTGAAATGATCTGTATTTCAGCTGTGCTTTTTTGTCTCTTCTTAGGTAAATATGTTTACCTTTCCACTAGAATCAAGGGTAATCTTGTGGTCAGACCTTACACCCCAATGTCATGTGAAGATATTGGTTTTGTTAACTTCATAGTAAAGGTAAAGTCATGAATTATATTCGCATGCACCAATGATCATTTCTGTATTTGTAAATAATGTTTAGAGTTGGTGATCAGTTATTTCAACATGCATTTGTCTATGTGTACTATAAAAAACATTAGACTATGAAAATGTTACCAGTGTGTAAAGCGGAACTCTGGGAAAACAGATAAACACACACTTGAGGCTAGGTTCAGATCTGAGCAATACCCGGCCCCATTGATTTCAATGGGGTCACATGCGCACCGCAATCTCTGAAAAAAGGTACGTGTACCTTATTTTGCAATACACAGCGTGTGGTGTTCAATTGCATGTGCGGAATTGCAGCGGGAAACTGCGTGATCCGTCCGGCGGGACTGGGGTGCCATTAGAAAATAATGGCACCTCCAGCGAGGTCGGCTGTGGTGGGCGACTCTGTGACCACCCAGCAAACCGCACAGTTTTGTGCATGATTGCCGTGCGGTCACGGATTGCCCAGATGTGAACCCAGTCTTAAATACATGTGAACTTCCAAATGATGTTGTGCCATAAACATTGCTAGACAGCACAGGCCAAGGATGACATTAAAGCATAAAAACCTAACAAAATTTTAAACGGTAGTTAAGGAGGAACTGCAGGATTTTAAAACATTAATCCTTGCAGTGGGGCTTCCCCTGTACTGTAAGGGTTAACTACTCATTTTGGTCTAGGGGCGCAAATAAAGATCATATACTTACCTAATCCTCTATCCCCCATGGCTTCTAGACCGGTCACGGCCGCCTCTTGTTCCCCGTGCTCTGGTGGTCGAAGCCCCACTGATGTCATCACATCTATGCAAGGTCCATTTCCTTGCTTGACACGTGAGGAAAGCGAGGGACAAAGCACAGCCAGAGCAGAGTGGGAGAGAGGTGAGCGGTGGCCACCGCAGGATAGAGTGCCGGGTGAGTGTATACTCTTTATTCTGTTCCCTAGACCAAAACGAACACTTAACCCTTGCTGTGTCAGGGTAGCCCCGCTGCAAGGGTTAACATTTGAAAGTCCTGGAAATCGATTTTAAAGCGTTTCCGTCACAAACGTAAAATGTAGAAAGTGAGTGCATGCCTGTAAAGAGGAAAAATAATGTTTACCTTTACCACAGTGTGCATTAGAAGCTACTACAAATAAAGCCTGGTTCATTTCCTGGCTGGAGGATTTCCAGCATCATCTAGCTTATTCCTCCCTAGCCTTTCTGTCCCCGGTCCGCCCCTTTTATTCATAGGATTTCAGTTATTTCAATCATGGCATCACATCTGGGCCATGATTAGGGCAATCTGCATGCAAATGCAGTTTGCCTAGGAACTCCCACCCCTCCAGACTGTCATCCACGCAGGCATTTTGATATTTGCATAACTCCGCCTAAGTACCAGTCCACTGCTTACATTAGGGCTGAGTGCTGTGATGTTTTCAGGAAGCTATTTGCGGCAACAAGGCAGCTCCTTCCATCAGCCTTGATCTGCCTGCATTGCACAGAGAAGCACAGAGACCAGTGATGATATCACTGGGTCTAAAGTAAGATATGTAAAGAAAACAGGACTATTTCATTAGCATGCTGATGAGGGCAGAAAGGAGGAGCCAGGGAAGGCAAAATATTGCCAAGTCAGTGATAGAACCTACAGTATGTCCAATCATGTGTGAGGGAAATTAATTGAGGTAAGCACATTATTTACTATGCTCAGTGAACGATCATTTTTTAACAGTCTTTATTCCTTTAGTAAATCAACCACAGTGTTTTCATTTAATACAAGCAGACGCATTTAGAGTTATTTACTATCACTAACAAACAGGATATTATTATTTAATGGCACTTAGTGACTAAAAGGAAATGTTGCATAAAATTAAACTAAGGCAAAATTATAAATCCGCAGCACATTCTTTTTCTTTTAAAGATCTATTTTACAGATGAACATCCTGATTTTCCAGAAGGAGGTAAAATGTCCCAGTATCTAGATAATCTCTCCATAGGAGACATTATTGAAGTTCAAGGTCCCAGAGGACTTCTTGAATATGAAGGAAAAGGTATGGATTGATTGATTGATTGATTGATTGATTTATAGGTGGATAGATAAATAGTCATATGCAAATCTAGACTTTTCAGGCTTGTTTTCTCCTTCTTCCACCTGCCTTGCCTTCTTGAGGTTAGACATTACATCCGCGCCCATCTGATTGATGCCGGCCGGTGGCCATCTTGGTGATGGACACCGGCAGAGAGAGGAGGGGACGTTAACCCGACGGGATGAGGTATGCCGCCGGGTCCCCTCCTCTCTCCTGACACTGTGGGGCTCTCAGTCCATGACCGAGTGTCCGACTTTTTAGAGGGGGTGACACCAAAATGTCAGTCATTTTGGTGTCACCCCTGCAATGGTGACACCCGGGTGCGGGCCGCACCCCCAGCACCCCCTTGTGACGCCACTGTACTCACCTGATCTTTTGAGCGGCTTGCCCTTAGACTGGCCCCTTGCGCCTCTCTCTCCCCTTCGATGCAGAGATCTAAGGTCCAATAAATCATCACATTCAATACAGTGCATAGAATATGAGGATGCTCAGGGACATTCCATTGTTGCAGTCTAGGAGGGAGGGAGCACTGTCACAGCCGGCCAGCTCCAAAGATCAGGTGCGTATAGCTTTGTTATTTTCCTCCCTAGACCAAAATGAGCAGTTAACCCTTGCAGTTCTGGGGTAGCCCCACTGCAAAGTTAGTAATACTTTTCCCTGGAGTTCTGCTCTAAGGCAAAGAGGAAGGCTTTGCAGGCTGAAGGGGCAGAGCATGTTGAAAATTGCATACCCATTAGTGGACCTTACAAATTACTTAATGAATGTAAACGCTACTTTTTTTTTTGGTCATATGCTCAGTAGGAATTGCCAGGGCTTGTGATTGGGTTACTATAAATGAATCAATCTTAAAGTAAAAAAAAAAAAAACTGCTGATCAACAGGCTGTATATGGCAGAAGAAACTATGTAAGGCTCTTCTGCCATAAAAGCTTCTTCTTTTTCAGGGTTTTTTTTGTATCCTATACACTGAGCTGCTCACATCTTATAATGTGCTAATACTGTATGCTGTGCATACTAGCACGTTATGGCTACAGCATATGAAATAAGCACACTGGCAGCTGTGACAGTTGGCATGCCCTGTAAGTAGCTGTTTTGAGAGACATAAAACTGGTGGGTAATGTTCCTCTTTAAGGAGTGCCAACCTTTTCTAAGGCTGGATTCACATGGCATTATTTCGCACAATAAAGTGCATTGTGGTAAGGCGTGCCCTTAATTTTTTATGGGTTTCCAATATACCACAACAGACATTTTAAAACAGCTGCTCCTTTTCTTAAAAACAGTGCACAACAGAGCACGGATGTTTCACATCAGTGCATTCTGGTGTGATAAAACATGCATGAATTGAGGGGTGCTGACAAAAAGCCTTGGGATGCCATTTTGTGCATTGTGGTAACATAAGGTAAAGCGTGCATTTTGGCTTGGAATATAAAGGACTTGTATGTGATCTCTAACTTTACATAAAAGGTATTTAAATTTAGTTCAGTGACTACATGACAAATACTGATTTTTATTAGCTACAAGCACTTTCATTCATATTTCCACTCTTTCTGTTGTTAGGTTATTTTGCTATTCAACCAAATAGGAGATCTCCAGCAGTGAGAACGTTTGTTCGTCGACTGGGAATGATTGCAGGAGGAACAGGTATGTAAGTACCCTTTTATCAAAAATGTATCTTATTTGTGTATCAGTTGTAGATCTTTAAAGGAGAACTATGAGGTGAGCGCTTTTCACTCACCTCATAGTTCTAGCCGACCTGTGACAATGAGACTGTCACAGGTCGGCTCAGTAGATCGGGAGGTGAGCGAACACATACCGCCGTTCGCTCACCTCTCGATTCTGTCATGGCTCTCTGCCGTGACAGGGGAGGGGCTGGATTCCCCCCTCCCCGCTCCGATCCACCAGCGCTGACTGGCAGGTCGGACGGGGGAGGGGGCGGGTACAGCTGGCTCTGCCTGTATATAGGCAGAGCCAGCTGTCACTCACGCAGCTGGGCGGATCCAGACATAATTGTCGGGATCCGCTTCAGCTGCGGCTTCTCAGTATAGAGCGAGCAGTAGCTCGCGCTATACTGTGGCGTCTCAGTATACCGCGAGCTGTAGCTCGTGGTATACTGAGATGAGGGTAACGGGAGAACGCTAGTTTGTGTCCTCCCGTTACCCTAAGGAGAACTATGGGGAAAAGCCTTAACCCCATAGTTCTCCTTTAAATCATCTCTGAATTCATACTGACACTGTCTTTCCTTCTTGAGGGTGGCTACTTTTGTTCTCCATGGTCAATGTGTGTTGTAAAGTAGCCACCGCTCCAAACTCGCTCCAGTGATGGACTACAATCTCACGTTCGTTTACTAATTTGTATTGAGATTGTAGTCCATTACGGAAGTGAGCTTGGAGTGGTGACTACTTTACAACACACAACAGGGACCATGGGGGACAAAAGGACAGTACCAGAACAAATTCACAGATGATTTGAAGATCTTCAACTGGGTGATACATAAATAAGATACATTTTTGTTAGTAGTTAAGGAACTTGAATGCATTTTTAAGATTTAACTTCTGAGTTTAACGTCACTTTAAATACAAAAGTGAAAACAAACATAACTCCTTGTCTCTCCCTGTGGATTCGTGCGATGAATAACATCATGCATTTGGAAGAATTATTAGCCATACATAGACTCACAGGGTTATTCACAAAAGGGTGAAGAGTTTGGAGAAGGCCGGAGAAGTGAACAATCTAGGACAACATAGAAGCGAGCTGAGTTGGAGAATTTTTCAAATTTAGCTATGTTGTCCTAGATCAGGGGTCTCAAAGTACCGGCCCGCGAGGCAACTCCGGCCAGCGAGCCAGTACTAAGTGGCCTGCCGCCAGCTGACAAGTCGGGCACATGGTCATCTCTGACGGATGCAGACCGCAGAGCTGCTCCTGTCAGCTCTGTGGACTTTGAAGGGAGGGGGGAAGTTTTTTTGGGGATAAATCTGCAGCTGTGTTATGTGTATTGCCCTTCTATGATACATATGTTCTGCTTTTTTTTAAATCAGTTTTTGTATGATATTTATGTTGGCCCACCCCTCTTGTTGCAATATTTGTCTGTGTTCCTCGTTAACAAGAAAAGCTTTAATAAAAAACAGATTCAACCTTAAATACAAATATGGTGGGTGTTTTACCTTTCTAAATGATGTGTAATTCTGTTAATCTAGCCCTAAGATTTACACAGCCCCACCAGACAAGAAAGCCAGACAAGCTACCTAACATTTCTATATGTAGTTACGTTGTACAGCTAGGCCACTTCTCTGTTCCCAGCCTATGACTCAACAGTAAAAGATCAGTCGGAGACTGATGAGCTCATCCCTCTCCTCCTGTCAATTTGTTCACTCTAAGATCATATACTCTACAGCACACCTGATTGGCCCTTAGGGATGCCCCTCTCCCACTCTGAGTAGTGCTATGCATTGGATTACAAGAAGCTCATTATATATTAAATTTAGGTTACACTAGTTGCATTTAAAATACATATAATCATTTTGTATTAATACCTAACTGCTTAAATTTGTGCTTTTCATTTCTGCCTGGGGTTCAGCTTCAGCACCATCTGAGTTGACACAGATATAAATCTCGAAAGTCAGAGAAAGGGTCTTTATTTGCTACTTATTCAGAATCAGTAAATATGGGTTTGTTTATAGCAGCCTGTACGCTAAAACTGCCCTATTTAGCATACAGGCTGGCGTTTGTTCTCTGTCGGCTGTAGGGGCAGTGGTGCCTTGCATGCAGTGCCGTAACCGTCGCCTATGTGAGATGAGGTACGGTGCGGAAAATATTGCAGCAAAATGAAATTAGAAAAAAAAAACATTTTTAATTTTTTTTAGTTTGCAGAAGATGAAAAAAAAAAGCGTGAAGTTCCCCCCCAATTCATACCAGACCCTTTAGGTCTGCTAGGAATGTTAGGAGGGACCCCCCCAAGTTAAAACACAAAAAAATCTACAAAAAAAAATCACAACCAGAATTTTAAAGGGGAACCCCAGCCCCCCAAAATGGGGGGGGGAACGTGGGGTCCCCCCTAACAGAG